GAATAAGTACAAGCAAGGAGATGAAAGAACTCTATAATAAAAACTTTAAAACATTGATAAAAGAAATGAAAGACACAAAAAAGGAAAAAATATGCCATGTTCATGGATTGGAAGAATTAATATTGTTAAAATGTCCATACTACTCATCATGTACAAAAATCAACTTCAAATGGATTAAAATTTGAACATAATATCAGAAACTATGAAGTCAGTAGAAAAAAAATATAACAGAAAAACTTTAGGACAATGATACTGGCAGAGGGTTTAGGAATAAAACCTCAAAAAACACAGATAACAACAAAAAGAAAATAGACAAATGGGATTGTCAGACTGAAAAGCTTCTGCACAGCAAAGAACACAATCAACAGCATAAACAATCCACACAATGAGAGAATATATTTTCAGACTACATCCAACAATAGATTAATAACCAGAATGTGTATGGAACTTGCCACAGCCGACTACATGGGAGTCCAACAACATAGCCATTACACTAACTGCTGGTCCCATGTGTCACAATTTCTCAATTCATTCATCAGTTTGTGGACATTTGGGTTGGTTCCAAGTCTTAGCAATCATGAACAATGCTGCAATGAAAATAGTTGTGCAAACACTTTTCTGACTCAGTGCTCTCCTGTCCTTTGGGTTGATACCCAGGAGTGAAATTGATGGATCATATGATAGTTCTATTTGAAAGTCTTTGAGGAGCCTCCATATTGTTCTCCACAGTGGTTGGACCAATTTACATCCCCACCAACAGTGTAGGAGTGTTCCCCTTTCACCACATCCCCTCCAGCAACTTTCATTATTTGTTTTTTTTTTTTTAATCTTCGCCAGTCTGATTAGGGTTAGGAGATATCTCATTGTGGTTTTGATCTGCATCTCCCTTACAATGAGGGATGTTGAGCAATTTTTTCATATGCTTTTTGGCTGTTCATATGTCTTCCTTAGAGAGTTGTTTATTCAGCTCCTTTTCCCATCTTTTAATTGGGTTAATCATTTTCCTCTGAGTAAGCTGCTTGAGTTCCCTGTGTATTCTAGTTATCAGTCCCTTATCTGAGGTACAGTTAACAAAAATTCTCTCCCATTCTAAGGGTTGTTGATTCACACTAATTATGGTGTCCTTCGCTGTGTAGAAACTCCTTAATCTGATATAATCCTACCTGTCTATTTTTGGGATTATTGCCTGTGCTTTGGGGGTCTTGCTTAAGAAGTCTTTGCCTACCCCAATGTCTCCCAGAGTTTCCCCAGTGTTTTCCATCAGTAGTTTTATAGTTTGCGGTCTTAGGTTTAGATTTTTGATCCACTTTGAGTTGATTTTTGTTAATGATGATAGATAGGGGTTCAGATTCATCTTTCTTCAGGTAGATACCCAGTTTTTCCAACAAAACTGGGCTTTTTGATGAACTACTTACTACTTAGAAGGCTACTTGAGACAGTATGAAAGAGTATAAGCTCTGAAGCCAGATTGTCTGGGCTTAAATATGCCCTCTACCACATATTGACTATGTGACCCAGTAAGGTTAACTACCATCTTTGTGCTTTAGTGGGCCTCCTTGAAAAATAGAGGAAAGTAGCAGTATCTGCCTTAGAGAATTATTATGAAGATCAAATGAATTATATCAGATACTTACTATCTGGCATGCAGAAGTTGTTTCATAAATGCCAGCTATTATTAGTTTGTTGCATATAGACTGAGAGCATCTCCAAGCTAAAAGAACTTTCACTCTATAGGTAAAGGAGTTGAAGAATTAAAGTAGATTGGCTTAAGGTCATATTGTTCATTAGAGACCAAGTCAAGAACCCAGTTCTACAGACTTCTATTCAGTGTTTGCTTTTGTCCTCCCCAAGAAATCTATAACTATACTTGGATCTGAATTATAGAATCTTACAGCTGAAAGAGATAATTAAGGTCTCCAGTTGAACTTTCTGATAAGGGATTATACTGCACAATTACATTTCATGAATCTTTCATCTTTGTTGACAGCACCATTTCACACGTTCTTAGTTATCCAGACAAAAAGATCTTAGAACCTGCATAATGGCTCGTAAGTTAAGAAACACACGTAAGCTCAGCTGCAGTGGTGCAGCAGTAAACTTGGCACTCTGCAGTGCTGGAAACTATATGACCACCATAGTTTGGATTCTAGGTCAGCATGAAAAACGTATGAAGAAGGGGCACTGAAGCAGGGGAGCTAGAGTGCTGGAGAAAGGGGATCATGATGTGATGAGGGTCTACCAAAAGTGCTCTCTCTTTCTCTCTATCATGCCTAGGTGCACATACTTTCTATCATAAAAGAAAGAAAAGGAGGGGGAAATAGAAACACATGAAAGGTGAGAATGAATGCCAGGGTCAGTTCTCCTGAGTTTCAGATGACCATCAATAGAGGAAGCCATTTTTAATGTCCATCTTTTGAAAAATAAGATTTCTTTTTCTGGGAAAACATTGTCTGGAATACTCATTATAAAGCTGTGATTCAGGCCATCCCACAAGTACGTGAATGTTTTGCAGATAGTATTCTTTCTGGTAAGAAATTACAATTTTGATGAACTCTGAACAATACTCTTCGGCAGCCAGGAAAAGGCACAGAGGCCAAATGCCCATACCAGGCATAATTTCTGAAGGTTTCAGCTTTCTGTGTGGTTCTCTGGAACTGTTTTCAGCCTGGTTGTGCAATCGACTACACTATGGTTTTAAAATTCAATCTAGCAGATTCAGACTCTCAAGAGGAATTGCAGCAATAAAAGATTGCTATTAACTAGGTACAAATAAACCTGTGTGTAAGGATTCTCTCATCAGATGCAATGGTATGCTCAGTTCTCTGTCTCAGTTCAACACTAAGGGAAGAGATTTAATTTCTCTTTAATGCAAATTAAATCATTGCATGCAACAACAGCAGTACAGAAAAAGGCCAAACGGAATAATTTTATTATGTGTCCAGAAAGTCTGTTCATCCACCACCACTATCACCACCACCTCCACCCTACCCCCATGACAAATGAGACTCAGAGAATCCACAATTATTTTTTAGGATTGTAGTATACAAACTGTGAGATTTATGGCTTGGGAGTTTAATCCTCAACACGGCAGTTCCCATTACCTGAATCTGAAAGTTGAATTACCTTGTTTATACTGAAGACTGAATAGACAGCCTCTACTGCTCTTCCACCAATCCCCCAGAGGATGCATTGTCAACTCCTCTGTTTTTCTGAGATATTTAATTTATATCTCTAGCTTTACTCAGGACAACTTGACTTATTACACCTAACCAGGTGTATGTCTCCTTTGATGACGATAAACTCCTGAGGATAGAAGTCACGTCTTACAGGTCTTTGTATTCTCCCAGAGAATTACAGTGTTTTGAACATAGGAGATGCTCAGTAAATGTTGTGATATTTAATTTTACTGGTAGTTAGGTTAAGCATTTCCTTGTTATAAAGTATTCTTAATGGATTCTCATGTTGGACATTTATAAAATTCTAATTTCTGAGAATTCTCATTTCCTGAACATGAAATCTGACAGCTTCTCAGAAAAAGTGTTGAAGAGGGAAGACAGGCCTTGGAAATGCCATTACTCAGGTAATTAGGTCCAAGAGTTACGACTTTCTGGGATACCCTCTTAACTATGCCTCTGAGTTCTTTGCTTTCTTTGTCCCACTAAGATGATTTGGTCCCTTAAAACAACTGAAAATTCACACAAAAGCTCCACAAATTTTCATAAAATTTCTATTCAATAGCATATTTATTAGTCACTCCCTTAGTGTTTACATAGCCATCTAAATTACAGTGCCATTCTGCTAAAATCTTTTTTTTTTCATTTTCAAAAATAAGAATTCTCAGAAATTAGAATTTAAAAAATGTCCAACATGAGAATCCATTAAGAATACTTTATAACAAGGAAATACTTAACCCCACTACCAGTAAAATTAAATATCACAACATTTACTGAGCATCTCCTATGTTCAAAACACTGTAATTCACTGGGAGAATACAAAGACATATAAGATGTGAATTCTACCCTCAGGAGTTTATCGTCATCAAAGGAGACATACACCTAGTTAGGTGTAATAAGTTGTCCTGAGTAAAGCTAGAGATAATTCATCCATGCCCATTAGGCCCACAGGCATGACCAGATACATTTTTTTGCAGGGCTCAGTTCAAAATAAAAATGCAGAGCCCTTTTTGAAAATTAAGGATTTATTAAAGATTTCAAGACTACAACAGAAGACCATTAACCAAGTGAAGAGCCTTTATAAGACAGGGTCTTGCAGGCTGCAAAGGTCTCACACCTATGAAGTCAGCCCTTCCGTGTCTTCCAAGAAATTCCAGTACAATGAAAGGCAAAAGGTCTGTAACTAGGGCTAGAAGCTACAATTCAAGTACATCCCAGGGGCTGCAGGAACCCAGAAGTTCCTAACTTTGTAAAATTGTCTCAGCAAGGTGACAGGTAGACTCATTTTTGAAAGAGCAGTAGGCTAAGAAAGAAAGATATTCCAAATTAAAGGAGCATTCTGGAGACAGGCAGAATATGCCTGACAAACTTCAGTAACAGGGTTACTTTCAGGACAATGGAGCAAGTAAACCAGAGTGACAACTGTGGTTGAGACAGAAAAAGCAGGCAGAGGCCAAAAGTGTTGAGGGGAAGGCTGAACAACTATTGAGTGTCTACTGTATGCCAAATTCTTTCTCTCCATAACAATATTTTAAGCACAATGATCTTAATAATAAAGTGCCATCCTTACTTGACAAACCCCGGGTAAGTTTAGGCCTAGCACACATAGTAATGCTCAGAGGGTTTGGAACACGGTAGTCATCCAATAAAATATTTGAGGAATGGTTGACCTGTCCAATTTAAGGCCCAGGACTCCTAACCCGTAACCAAGAAGCCAGTGAAGATGCTTTAACCCTTCCAACAACTCTTCGAGTCTCTCTCTAGAGCCCAAAGTTGCCCTTCCCTCTCCTCGCTCCGCCCCTGCGCTTCCACGTGCCGGAAACTGGGCTGCAAAAGTACTTCCGGGGTAATGAAGGTTGGCTCCGGCAAGATGGCTGCCCCCTTGGAGCTCAGTTGCTGGGGAGGAGGCTGGGGGCTCCCTTCGGTACACAGCGAGTCCCTGGTGGTGATGGTGAGGCCTCCTCGCGGGCCAGGGCGCGGGGAGAAGGGGCGGGGCCGGAGGCGCGAGGCTGCCTTGCCCTGGTTCCCCGCGGCGCTGCGGGGTCCAGGCGGCCGAGGCGCTGCTCGCTGCGCGGCCCGGGGCTCCCCTACCGTCTGCGAGTCACAACCCGGCCTGTGACCCCCCGAGGTCGGGAGCGTCAAGGCTAATCCGCCTGGTCCGAGTGTTTTCAGCCTTGCAAAGCTGTCTGGGTGAGGAGTGAAATCCAGAAGCGAGGGGCGCGCCCGCCCCGTGCCACAGTCTCAGACCTTTTCTGGAGCAAGGCTCCCGAAGGCGGGTAGCTGACGCGCGCGTCCCCGACTGGAGGTCAGGGGGAGGGAGGCCTGTATCTGACGCCTTCTGCCTTTGGGAGATGGGGCTTTGAAGTAAAGCTGCTTTGTGGATTTGCTTTACGCATTCGATCTGAAATGTCTTATTGTAAATTCTGTTTCAGGCTTATGCCAAATTTTCTGGTGCACCCTTGAAAGTCAATGTCATAGATAACACCTGGAGAGGTTCAAGAGGTACAGTGGCAACTTTTAGATGCCCTTTTCTGCCCTCTTTAAGTTTTTTTTTTTTTTTTTTTTTTTCTTTCTCCTCTTAAAAATATGAGGGGTATAGCCAA